TGTGAGTATAGAGGAAGGAGGGGAGCGGTGTTCTGTGAATTGTGGTTGTTTTTATATTTCCAGATTTCCTAGCGAATGATGGAATTAGTTAGTGAAAATTTTCCCGCCATTCCACATCCTCAATCATTCATTGGTGTGGTCGTCAACGGCCGCTAATCGTTTCTTCTTGATTGACGTTTCCCCACCATTTTGGGGAGTGTCACCCTCGAACGATCCGACGCGTTTCTTATCCGTTAGGAATTTGTTAATATTTTTTATTTTTATTGATATGTTATAAACTTGTCGGTGCCGACAAAGTTGTCTATCGCAAGAATTTTTTTTTTTATAATGAGACGTATCTCGAGAGGAATTTTTGTGTATTTATTTAGGGTTTCTTTAGATCGTTCGAAACGCTTCATTTTCTGATTAACAGCCATTATCTTTTTCCGAAAGAGAAGAATTGTGAAGTCGCCCGGACGTAACACATACATATAAGTATTCTAATTTTTAAATCCAAATATTCAAGAATTCAAATAATTTAAGTATCCAAAAAATAAGCTTTTTAGCTTGATAATAATATTCTCGTTTTAATATTCTGGCTCTCAAGTATAGAAGTATTTTCTTCAAGTATTTTTGTTCGTAAGTATTTAAATATCAGAATATTCAATTATTCACGTATTTTAGTTTTTAAGTATTTTAACTATTAAATGTACAAATATTAAAGTATTCAAGTATTTATTTTTTAATATCATATTTGATATTTACTATTGATATTATATAATATCAATAAGGTTAATTTTTTATTTGATTTATAATAACATGTTATAACTTTTATGTTGAAAATTATAAATAAATAAATAAATTTAATTCGTTTTTAATAAGAACATATTAAATCAATATTCGAATGTATCAAAATTAATTGTCGTTTTTCTATAATGTCGATTGGTCCCCTCATATTCATTTTATAAGCGATCGGCTATTATCGTAGATGCATTTTAACAATTTGTATACCATATATGTTGTATATCGTGGAAAAGAAAGATACAAATTGCATAAAAATATTTAATTTTGTACTTTCTCTGGAGAGTATTTTATGACCAATTAAAAATTGAAGATGCATGATTACATAATTTTCTTCATATCATGTGATAACTGCTCATAACGAGATGAATTTACATAACAATGATTGAAATTAATAGAATTTATCTGAATTTTTTATATTAAATTAAAAAATATATAGCGCAAAAAAATAAATAGCGCGCGTGTGCAGCGCGCATGTATGTCTACTAAATTGAAACATAAAAACATAAAAAAATATAAACATAAATAAATATAAAAAAATATAGTAAAATTGTGCAAAATTTTTATCAAATTATTATTAAAAAATTAAATTTTCTATCCATTTTTTTTTCTGATGTTCTTTGACAAGTTTGTAACTTATTTTTGATTAGAATAAAATAACTTGAATATCTTTTTTATTTTTAGTTATTAAATTCTTATAAATGAATCCCAAATTTTATGAATATAAATCTAAAATATTAAAAATTGAAAAATTTTTGACTTGTGGTCAGCTTTTTCGGATGTTTCTTTTACTTTGGTTCTTTTACTTTTACTTTTGGTTCTAGAATTATGATAGATAAATATTTATCATATTAAATTGAAATTGGTAATGTAAATATTTATAAATTGCGATCAGAATCATGTTAAATTGAAATTGGTAATGTAAATATTTATAAATTGCGATCAGAATTTTGAATTAACATGAGAATTAACGATTTTCCGGTCAAGGTTCATTCTTAATTCACATCTCTAAGGAATAGCAGCGTGCACAAGCGGAAATTCAAGTCGACATTCCAACTTAAGCCGATAATTTATTCCAACCACCCACGCGCTTGTCTTATGCGCGTGCCACCGTGTAAATACAGTCGAGAGGCAAAAATAACTAAAAAGGGTTGTAGGGTAATGTCGAGAAAAAAGAACATGGGGAAGAAATTGGTGATAATGTTTTTAAGTCAAACAGGAAAAGTGAAAGCAAAGTTTTCTCTTCTATAGTACAGAAAACCAGCATATTATAATGCCATTTTTAGTAAAGAAGTAATAAACAAAAATAAAATAACAAAATTCATTTTAAATGATTTAATGCACAATTTATGACCAATTAAATCGAAGATGTATGATTACGTAAGTAATTTTCTTCGAGTTATATGACAGCTGTAAATTAAGTAAAATCTATTTTGTGCTTATATAAATATATTATAAGTGATAATTTTTCAATGAATATATTAAATATAATTTGTATTTTTAATTTGCGGGACAAATTTTTTTTATAAAGTTTAAAGAAATAATAATAAAAGTTTATAAATTTTTCTAAAAAAATCTGTATCATAATAGCATGTCATTTTCGATATTCTCTGTTTGACGATTTTTAAACTATGCAGGAATTTCAATCCGAACTTGAATAGAAATCTATAAGAAAGGAATATCTAAAAAAGAATCGGAGGACGATATCGAAATACGGACGAGATATAAACGGGGAACAGGAGAGCCTCCACGTGTCCGATAAATCGGAGATTACCGATCGCTTTTCGCGGCGAGGACGTGTGGGCGTTCGGATAAATTCCGACCTTAATCGCGATATCACCATTGACGGAATTAATAATTTCTCAAATGGAAGCGCGCTTGCGAAGGATATCCGTAAACTCGCCTACGTGAGCACGGCTTACATGACGACGATAAATTACGTTCGGTAGATACGGGTGCGTAATATAATGTGACATGAATATTCGAACGCCATCGTTTTTATTCGTTGGGCATACAATAGCAGTAAGGAAATTGTCGTAATAAAAATATATCCCCCATTACTTCATACAATAGATATTGCTTTCATCGTATACAGTGTTTCCTTAGATTTTTCTACTGAAGGATGTTTATCAATAAATGTAAAATTTATTTGACTTTCTTAACTTTTTTCTGATTTTTAATTTTTTAAAAATAAATATTTGATCATCAAAAGTAATAAATTAAACATTAGCTGCAAGTTATACTAATTATTGATTAATAAAAAATTGAATTTCTGGAGTATAAGATTACATTATAAAAATTAATTATTAAAGTAAATTACTAATGCATGGTTTAATATATTGACGCATTGTTTAAAAATTCACAAATTTATAATAGATCGATAGAGAGATAGAAATCGAAAAACGTGCAGAAATAGAAAAATCAATTTCTAAATAATTAAATTACATCAAACTTTATCAAAGTCAAAGATTTTGAAGATGAATCTAATGTCACAATACAAAACTTAAAAATAGCGAATATAATATAGGATATAATATAATGGCGGATATAATGATCATAAATCATTTTGAAGATATATCCAAGACACTTTTTAACTGCGAGAAATTCATTATCATAATAAATTTTTGAAAATTACTATTAAATCTACTACAAATTTTCGTAAAAGTTTTTCTATCAGAAGATTAGAATAGCTATTTCTATCAAGATTTAAGTATTTTGTAACACTTTACTTATAACTTAACTTTATAACTTAACTTTTATAACTTTACGGAAAATTATACATGAAATTAGATAGTACGATAATCTCTATATATCTATAGTTAATGTAATTAATATAATTAATGTAATTAAGTAACCTATATTTATTTTAAAGAATATTCGAATATGTTTGTAAATATAGATGACAGTATGGAATAAAATTTGTTACCAATCAGATATAAAAAAATTATACTAAATAATGCATCATACGATAGCAATAACAATCAAATATTTTCAAATATAAAAAATATAATTTTTATATTTATATTATTTTTTTCATTATTATACTCTTTTTGTCTTTACTCTTTTTGTCTTACTATGATGATCTGCCTGATGACCAAAAAGTCCATCTATCTAACTAACTCCGGAGTATAATTTAATTATACGTAACAATGGCAATGATAATACCAGTAATATAATTTGTAAGAGATACAAATCAATGACAACTGTAATAATCTGATTTAAACGATTAATTAGTACTCTAACGCTACAGTGACGCCTACCTTAAATAATTACAATGTAGCATATGATCTAACTATAAATTGGTCGAATCCGAATGTATGGCAATATTTGTAAAATATCTTGTATAAGCACACTCGTTACTTTTAACAATGCAATTATCTGTACACTTTTGGACGGCAAATAAATAAGTGGATGGCGAGTCTGTTTATTTGAAAAACACGCGCGTATTATCGCGTAATGCAGGCGCAACACGTTCGTATGCGGCCATTGTTACGGACGTCACAGAAAGATTGCAATTATTAAATTACAAATCGCCGCGTTCACCTCCCATAATGCGTTTGCACCTCCATCCTGTATTAATTAAACAAATTGGTAGCGCACCGCGCGTTTTCTATGTTCTTCCACCGCTTTTGCACGCGAGCTCGTTTCCATTATACCCACTCAATTGTCACAATAAACTAACCAGACGTGACGTCAATGCAGTCGCAAGTGTTCGGCACGAGTGTTTATGTAACTAGGAGATTGATAACAACATTTCTATATACATCATTCTGCATTGCGATGCAACGAATAAATAGTTCCTTCCGTTAAAACTTAAAGAAATTGATATCTATTGGATAAAAAAAACAAAGCAACTAAAAATTAATGTTCTTGCATAAAATAATAAATTTCATTTTCATTTAAGATTA